TGAGGGCTTTAACTGGATTCATTAACAAAAATCTTACATTTTCTATGCCATTTTCCCTTGAAGTGTTCTGAAAACGATTTGATTGGGCCAATCTTATTTGTGAGTATTATATAGTTCATCTATTTGAAATATTTCCTTTGTAAATTGCTAGGAATTCTTCCGCCTCGTCAACTGGAAAGTCTTTTGTCACCAATTATCCAGCTGGGTTATTCCTGAGAAAGTATTCTTCTTCCTCCAGCTATATCTCCTGACAGAAATCTCTAAATAACATTGTTAAAGACAAGAGGTATTTGATTTTACAATCAAATTGGTGTAATTGAGCTATCAACCAGTCAAGAGTGAAGGTGAGAATCTATATTCAAAGATTTCATTATTCTTTAGCCACAAACTATAAATTTGAGTTTCAAAAAGGCATTATTCATAACTTTGGTTTATTATTCCTGTATCCCATAGATTTTTTAAAAGGTATTATTTATTTATTTGACAGGGAGAGAGCAAGCGAGAGTACAAGCAGTGGGGGAGTAGCAGGTAGAGGGAGAAGCAGACTCCCCTGCCGAGCAAGGAGCCTGATGTGGGACTCCATCCCAGCACCCTGGGATCATGACTTGAGCCAAAGGCAGATGCTTAACCGACTGAGCCACCCAGGTGTCCCTGTATCCCACAGATCTTATAAATAGGTTGAGAAAATAGACATACAATGAAACATGAGGAAAAGGAAAGTCTTTTTGAGAAATCGCACAATACTGGATTAAATAATTACTGTGTGCACGCTACAAGCAAGGCCCTGGGCTGGGGCTACAGGCAGATTTACAGGTGGTCATGCCACCTGGGTCTCAAGCCAGGCATCCATTTTTCTTGCTTCAGATTGTGTGCTGTCAAATGCAATGGCTTGAGTTCATCGACTCCAGTACACATGTTCTTTCGTCATTCCTTTTTTCACTCTAGATAACCCTGGGCTAGATGTTTCACATTCTCTGTAATCCACTTGCTCACTCTTCTGGCTTTATACAATGAACCTAGTGTCTTATTTAGCTGAATTGTGAAAAGATAACTGAAGTAAAATTCTACAATATAAAATGGCCATCTTGATATGTGAAGCCTTCCCTTTGCCTGTCTTCAAATATCCCCACATTCATTTATTCATTAAATAGTAACACTGAACACTTATTATATGCCAGTTACTATGCTACTCCAGTTATATAATTTCATTTTCTAGACTGATGTAAGATTATATAGTCTTTTAGATTCATTAGTTATTGATTCAGAGGATGACTGGGTTGTAAAAACATTGGCATTATCTAATTTACCCCTCTGTTTTATATACAAGGAAATTAAAACCTGGATAAGACACTCAAGGTTCAAAAAGAAGTTTGTTACAAAAGTCAAAACTAAAACCTTAGTTTCATTACCATCATGGTTTGTTAAGGAAATTAGTTTCATTGACTACTGTGTCCATTTATGTATCTGAACAACATTAAAACTTTGTTCTCTGAACCTCTAATACAGTTATCAACCAGAGGAGCACTGGGATAATGGAGAGTAAGCTGCTAATTTGTGCTTTTGGTGATGGGGAAACAAAAATCCAATCAGAATGAAAACCATTAAAACCTACCCATAACAGTAGCACCTAAAACATTTTCCATGTTTCTAAATCTCAATCTCCATTTCCTGAGCTCCTCAAAGCCACTATACCTTAATGCAAGCTTGCTGAGTGGCTGCTATGCTGCCATCCTCAAAACTCCTACTTTCCAAACACAATATATCAGCGTAAGTGTACTCAGAGCTCCTGCTATGTACAGTCAGACACATAGGGCCACTCATGCAGGAGGACAACTGATTTCATAAAGAGGTTATCAAGATTGTAACTGAAGGGTTTTGACCACTCATTCCTGGGTTATGGCTTAGCCTGGCTGTCTATGGTCATGGGCCCCACGCTCTGAGCCACACACCCTTTGAGATGAGGTGACCTTCTTTTCAGACATAGCTCCTGAAAGTAGATGTCATGTATAGGAGATTCTCCACCTCTAAGAGATTAGAAAGATCTTTTCTTGGCTATAGACTCTTAAATCTTGAATGATGTTTCCTGGATATTAGAATCAGACATTCCTAGGTCTCTGAAACATAGCATTTTTCCTCTTCCAAATTTTATCATAAAAATTTCTAAACCTACAGATAAATTGAAAGAACAGCACAATGAACACCTATATACCAATGACAAAATTAAACCAGCATTGGTGTGCCTGGGTGGCTCAGTAGGCTAAGGGTCTGATTCTTGATTTCAGCTCAGGTCACGATCTCAAGGTTTTGAGACCGAGTGGGCTCTGCACTGGGCATCAAGCCTGCTTAAGATTCTCTCTCTCCTTCTCCCTCAGGCCATACCCCCCTTCTCCCTTTCTAAAACAAAAAGAAAAATTAAACAGGTATTAAAAATGCATACTACTTTCTCCTTCTTATGTCTTAATACCTGAACATTTCACTAAAGTAAACCCTACAAAAGAAGCTTGCTCAGATCCTCTGAATACTCTCTTCTCTGGCCCCCTTGTCCCTGCCAATGTGTGTGGATATCAATGGGAGAGGAGTTTAAGGGTAAGTAGGAAAAGAGAGTAAGTGATGTCAACCCTAGCAATGGTAATTTTAATTAATTAAATTCCTTTTATTTACACATTGAAAATGAACCTCCTGGAGTTGAGAAGAGAATATGTGGTCTGCATTAAATTTCTAGCAATGAAAAAAACATTCCATGATTAGTAAAAACTGGAATAGGATACTTATAAATTTCCTGAAAAACCTTGTTATCAATTTCAGAGTCAGTTAACAATACAACTGATAGAATGATTATAATTCATGCGCCTTCTCTGTCTAGTATTGTTAATTTCCTACATGTCAGACGTGTTTAAATCCTTTATTTCCTATTGTTGTGAGTTTTAGTTACAGCAGTGTCATATAATGGGGCTTAAAATAAGAATGAGCAAAATAAATAAATAAATAAATAAATAAATAGAATGAGCAGTCATCGATGTTTTTGTCTGATTATATAATGACATAAAGAAGCCATATTTTTCATCTATACTGGTCCTCTCTTTTCCTTCTCAATTCCAAAAACATCCTGATTGTTGATTTTCGCATCCATTCAACTTTGTATATATGTATTCAGAATTACCACCTTTATTGAGCGTATTTATGGTGTAGGTGCCTTGCCAGACCTGGGTCTACCAAGGAGAATACAGCTTGTTCTCTGCTTTCAAGGTGGGTGTTCCACGGAAATGGGAAGAGCTCAGGGTAATTTCTGCATGACTGCTGTGCAGATTAAGCGATTTGCTAAGCAAATGCCTCCAGCACTGGGTCTGGTGTTTAGCCAAAATTTGCCACTTGCCAGTCCTCCTCCTCATTCACTGCCGAGTGGGTATTACTTCTACACCTCCTTCTGCCTTCTTTAGGATTCTAACTATTCTCTGTGCTTAACTCTTAAAAAGTGTGACCTATAGCTTCTTTTGAACCCCCATCTCCCCCACAGCCTGAATGGTCACACTCTCATCAAGGTCTTTGTGATTCTAAATGTTTTATAGTTCATTCCAAGTGGTAAGTTTAGTACAATGTATCCATTAACATGATTCTTTCCATTAGTGCTTTCAAAGTCCTCCACTTCGGTGGAATCTTTGTCAACATTGCCATTTTCTCTCTCTGCTGTTTCTCTTTTTTCTAAGACACGCATATGTGAGCCCTGCCCATATTCAATCAATTTGCTTACCTCCAGTGGCTGACAGAGGACACACATGACTTCTCCATGCCTCACCCTCACCCACTTTCCCTTGGTAGCCAAATGCCACTTTCTCTAAAAATACGATCAACCAAAAAGCTGGTTCATAAGCACCCAAGACAATGTGCCAGTCAGACACACAATATATCAGACAATGAAAACAAGACATGACAGACAAGAAATATGTGGAAGTGAGAAGCGTCCCAGTGTAGTGGTTAAGAGCTGTGGCTCTGAACTCGGATCTGAATTCAAATCTCATCTTTGTAGCTAACTTGCTTTGTGATTTTAGATGTGAGCCTCAGTTTCTGCATTTAAAAATAAAGATCATAACTATTTGTAACATATGAAGTTGTTGTAAGGATCAACTATAACAACGCATGGAAAGCATTTAACTCAATATCTGACTCCTAACCCCTAAAAAATGAATAATAGTATTGTTACTACCATCATTATAATGATAAGGTAAGCACACATGTGTGCAAAACAGAATTGATCAGAGACATTTGAATGTTTCAGAGTTTAGAGTTTCTTCCTGATAACACAGAGGAATCCTTTATATTGTAATAATGTAATTTCTCAGAGTAAGATAACTATCTTTTTTTCTCTGTTTTCTTTCAGGAAACCAGCTATTGCTTCTAATACAAAATAAACTTTAAAAGAAGCAGCTGTCTTATTTTATAATTCAGCCTCACCTTAACAGCAGAGCATCACAATTACTTTCGGACATAAAAGTACATTGAATAGTATAAATTTATTATTAACAAATGTGGGATAATGACTTTATTTACTTGCAAGTCTGATTGCTCCTTGGAGGGTAAGAAGGCACAAAAAGCCTTCCTGTCATCAGAGGACCAGACCCAATTCCTGCAGCTTACAAGCAATTTATGAAGCAGAGCATCTGCCATCCTCAAACAAGTATTCAGCATCCAAAAAATTTTTTCCCTTTTAAGGAAGCCCTATATCTCAACTATTTTGATGGCTTATCCTTGCTCCTTAAAGAAAGCAGCTTTAGGATCAGCAGCTGATACTAGAAAATAATTCAGAAAAACTTATTCTTAGCTAAGGCTAAGTCCCTTTGTAAACATGTTCCCTTAAGCTCTCAGATGTCCACTGGATAGGAGATTTAACTGCTTATGATAGAACTAAGGGAGGAATAAGGAAAACAGCACAATATTGTCCTCCAATAAAAATCAATAGCTATTTCATTCAGGAAAAATTCAATTTTGAAATGGATGCTACAAACCTGAGGCCATAAAGAACCGTCCCATCTGGATGCAGGCGGATCATGCGGTTCTTGACAGTCACTCCATGTACAAATGACTTCTTATCATTCAGGAAGTAGGTATCCGGTACCCAGAGCTGGTCTGCCACTCTGTTGTCCAGAGTCAAGTTTAAAGGTATTACATTATAGGACAGTCTCTTATCTCTCCAGGCTTGCTGGAAATACATTGTCAAGGTATAATCCTGTGAATGTGAAAAGAAAATGATTATTTTGTACAAAAACTTGGGAGATAGGCAAACATCTTATTATTCATAAGAAAAGAAAATATATACAACCACACACTAGAAATATAGTATTCACATATAGGCAAATATTAATTTATTAAACCCTTTCTAACTGAACACCCAGTATGTGTCTGTCAGGCACTATGGCAAGCACTGTAAATATGGAAATGAGGAGAGTATATCCTGGTAAAATTTATTATATAGTACCCAGGAAGAAAGATGGTAAGGAATAATTAGTGAATTAACTAGACTTTCCCAAAGTGGGGTACGTAAAATTGTTTTAGATGGGATACAAATACAATTGTAAAAAAGTGGTTAATTGGGGCACCTGGGTGGCTCAGTGGGTTAAAGCCTTTGCCTTTGGCTCAGGTCATGATCTCAGGGTCCTGGGATCAAGCCCCGCGTCATCGGCCTCTCTGTTCAGCAGGGAGCCTCCTCTCTCTCTCTCTCTCTTTCTCTGCCTGCCTCTCTGCCTACTTGTGATCTCTGTCTGTCAAGTAAATAAATAAAATCTTTTTAAAAAAAGTGGTTAATTTGTTATAGTAATAATTGTAAGAGTTTGTCAAAGAGAATCCTAACCAGTCTAATCAAGGGGGATTTCCCAGGAGAGGTGGCATTTATACTAAGACTTATGTAGCTTCTTGGCTAAATAATATTAGCATAGTCAGTATTTCATGAGAATTTTAATCCCAGGATTCTGAATCATCAGGAGGCTCTTAGCTTTTGAGAAACAATGAGTTGTTATAAAGTGAGCACTGGCCTTGAAGTCCCAGATTCAGCATTTCTCAATTGTTTCTAGCATGTAAATTTTTACAAATTCTTTTGCTTAAGTTCCATTAACTATAAATGGGACTTTTAATACATACTTGATCTAAGCAGAAGATTGTTGACAAATGTAGAAATCAAATGCAATTTGTAAACTACAAAAAGCTATATATTATGAATAAAGCATTTACATATATATATATATATATATATATATATATATATATATATAGTGACATGTGTGATCCATTAGAGGCCTATGGGTACAATGTAATTGTTCTCACCCTCATTTGAATGACTTAATGACAGACCAAATATCATTTCAAAAGATAATTACCATTCTATTTTGAAACCAGTTCACAATGCTCTACTTGAGGGCTTTTGAAAAAACCAGAATCATGTATTAATCATCTCTACCTCTTGAGAGCTAGCACAGTCCTAGGGCACAAACAGTGAATGAATGAATGAATGAATGGGTATCCAATAAGGTACACCTACTGGATTTCTGCACGTATCTGTATACTTTTGTAGATAAGGTACACAACTCAATCTCTGTGAAGTCCCTAAGTTTTTCCAACCCTTATTGAGATTTATACATGCTAATTTGGTTATGTAATTTGAAAATATAACTTGTAATATATTACCTGTTAATAACATTGAATAGTTTTAATAGGAAAAGTATAATCTCTCTGCAAAAATATTAAATATTTTTGGGGCGCCTGGGTGGCTCAGTGGTTAAAGCCTCTGCCTTCGGCTCAGGTCATGATCCCAGGGTCCTGGGATCGAGCCCCGCATCGGGCTCTCTGCTCAGCAGGGAGCCTGCTTCCTCCTCTCTCTCTGGCTGCCTCTCTGCCTACTTGTGATCTCTGTCTGCCAAATAAATTAATAAAATCTTTAAAAAAAAAAAATATTAAATATTTTCACTTGTTTCATAAACATACAAATTTTGATCTCATTCAGAAGTCAGGGTAGGGCTGACTTCTGAATGAGAGGTATAGAATCAAAGCTCTATTCTAACAAAAGACTCACTAATATCCTCAAGTTATATCAAATAATGGTGGGTAAAATTTCCTTTAGTGGATCAGTTTAGTTAGTGCTTTTAAGTGCTCTGTAATACTCAGCTTTCATAAGAAAATATTATGAGGATCTCTAGAATAACAGCTTGATTTATAGTAAAAACAACCTTTTAGTCTTATAATTTTAAAACAGGAAAAGGACCAGATACATTTTTTGCATGAGCCTATGTTATACCCTAAAAAGTAGGACATAAACAAATAGTCAATTTATATGGAACGTAAGAGAACACATTTTGTAATTTCCAATTCTTGGAGATAAAATTGAAAATTTGATTTTTATCTCTATTAGAAGACAAAGCTATTTGTGCTTCTTTGATCATAAACCCTGTTAAGATTTAGGGAAGATAATACTGCTTGGAAGGCGCTGGGGTTTGTCAGTCAACTGAAATGTGTTTGGACACAGAAACTGTATTCTCTTTGGGGTTAAATAAATGGTACCACTGTAATAACCAGTACCATATGCTAATTCCCGTTATTTGTCAGTAAGGCAAAGCCTGCTAAGAAATGCACCCAGACAGACCCTAGTTAAGTCTGCTGTCACACCAATTTTCACTTTATTTATTTATTTTATTTTTTATTAACATATAATGTCTTATTAGCCCCAGGGGTACAGGTCTGTGAATCATCAGGCTTACACACTTCACAGCACTCACCATAACACATACCCTCCCCAATGTCCATAACCCCATCACCCTCTCCCTACCCCTCTCTCTCCAGCAACCCTCAGTTTGTTTTGTGAGATTAAGAGTCTCTTATGGTTTTTCTCCCTCCCAATCCCATCCTGTTTCATTTATTCCTTTCCTACCTCCCAACCCTCCCACATTGCAATCACTTTATTTATTTTTAAATGACTCATCAATGACACTGTCAAGAGTAAAAGAAACTCCTGAGTCTAAATAAATATTATTGGACTTAAGAAGAAAGAGTGGTTCTGTGTTCCATCCTCTCCCCCATGCCTCTACCCACCCAAGATAAATCCTTTGAACATTCACATAAAAAAGTGTATCTCTTACGTTTAACAACCCCACCTTTTGAAAGTTGTTTCACAATTGGTTTATTCAACTGGAAAAGCAAAAATAGAAACAAATAAACCACTTCTGGATGCTTCTCAATCTAGGGCATCACCATGCAGGAAGGATTTAGATAATCATAACTAAAACCAATTGACTTTGAATGTTGAAAAAGATGCAGTAAGCCCACTACAGACTATCTCTCTCACTAATTACAACTAAATATCCTGGAAATAATTAAGAAAAAAAAAGAAAAGAAAAAAGGAAAAAAACCTACCTAAGGCTATGCAAAGTAAGAATAGTATGTAGATTGGAGAAGGAATCAAAATGTGAAGAAAGACCTTTCCATTGCTGAGTTTATTGTTTGTTTTATTTTTTTCTCCCTATTTTATCTCATTAAACAAAGCCCAAACAAACAAATGGAGAGATATACCATGTTCCTGGATCTGAAAAATATCATTAAGATGTCAATCTCCCCAAACTGATCTATAGATTAAATTGAATCTTAATCAATATACAAGCAGAATTTTTTTAAATATGCAGTAGCTGATTGTAAAATTTATGTTAAATTTATGTTAAAAGCAAAAATAAATGAGATTAGACAAAACAATTTTGAAAGAAAAGAGCAAAGTTGGAGGACTCTATTTGATTTCAAGACTCACTATTAAGCTATATCTAACAATAAAAGAATCTAAAAACAAACCCACACAAATATGCTCAATGATTTCTTACAAGGAAGCAAAGGCAATAGATTAGAGCGAGCATAATTTTTTTAACAAATAGTCCAGATCAACAGGAACATCCATATGAAAATAAATATGTAAGAACCTCACCCATACTTTATACCTTACACAAAAATTAATTCAATTACATAGACTCCAATATAAATGTAAAACTATAAAACTATGAGAAGAAAACAAGAAATTCTCTGTGAGATTGAGTTGGGCAAAGACTTTGATATAAGCCGACAAACACAAATAACAAAACAAAATACTGATAAACTGGACCTCAACAAAATTCAAAACTTATGCTCCATGGAAAACTCTATTAGGAGAGTAAAAAGAGTAAAAAGACAAACCACAGACTGGGAGAAAATGTTTGCCATCGTGTGTCTGACAATGGATAGATATTCAGAATATATAAATGTATAAAGAATTCTCAAAACTCAACAAACAACCCCATAAAAAATAGCCAAAAATGTGAAAACTTAACCGATGAAGAAATGCAAATGATAAACAGGCACATGACATGATGCAAAACATCATCAGTCATCATGGAAAATCAAATTAAAAACTACAATAAGATCCTATAACACACCCATTAGAAAAGCTAACATAAGGGGCATCTGGGTGGCTCTGTCAGTTAAGCATTCGACTCTTGATTTCAGCTCAGGTCATGATCTCAGGGCTGTGAATTGAGCCTGGTGTCGGGTTCTGCCCTGGGCACGGAACTCCCTTAAGATTCTCTTTCTCCCTCTTTCCTAGCCCCCTCCCCCTCCTAAAAAGAAAAAAAAATCTAAAATAAAAACATCAAAAAACAACTGACAATTCCAAGTGTTGGTGAGGATGCAGAGCAACTAAAAATCTTATCTGTTGCAGGTAGGAATATAAATTATCAGCCATTTAGAAAATAGTTGGACAGTTTCTTATAAAGTTAACATACATTTGACAAATGACCTAATAATCTTACTCCAGCATGCAAAAATTTACAGCAGCTTCATATTAATCGCCAGAACTAGAGGCCATCTGGATGCATGATCTTCAGCAGATGAAGAGATAAACAAACTGCTACACCCATGAAATAGAGTACTACTCAGCAACAAGAAAGAACAAACTCTCGATATATGCCACATTATCGATATTTTTCAAATACAGAATATTAAGTAAAGGATACATATTAAATGACTCCATTTATACATTCTGTAAAAGGTAAAAGTGTAGGGGCAAAGAGCAGATTAATAGTTCCCTGGGATTCCAGATGGGGGAAAGGTTGACAGCAAAAGGCCAGAATGACGGAATGATTTGAGGTAACAGAATTGTCCTGCATTCTAATTGCAGTGGCAGCTACATGACTAGGCATTTGTCAAAACTCATGGAACTATATACCA